GTCTCGGCCTCCCAAAGTGCTGGGATTATAGGTGTGAACCACGGCGCCCGGCCTCGGCTCCTATTCTTAAAGGTTTTACAGGGCATAGAGATTGTTGGGTATTTAAGCATTTTAATATGTGACTTCAGGGTTTCTTGCTCTCTCTTACCCTTCCTGAATTAAGCTTTTCCCTCCTGCAGCGAGAAGCTAATGTACAATGTCGTGGACGATTACAATGATTACTGCAGTCTTTAGGCCTCCACAGGCATAGTGGCTCCTCAGTAAGATGCAGAGCTAATTGAAGGTCCATCTCTTCCTCGCCCTTTGCCCACCTTCTGGTGCAGGGCCACACTTACAACTCTAGTGGACCTCTGCTCTCTCAGGGATGGGGTCACAGACACGGCTTGGGAGGCCGGAGACGCAGAGAGTCCAGGAACGAAACCTGATTTGATGGAGGGTCTTTTTGACAAAGCTCTCACATTTGAGTTCAACTCTGAAACTACAGCGTTGTTGATAAAGACAGGATGTAAGAAACTGATGCTTGATTCATCACTTTTCCATTCGCCTTCCATTCATTGTCTCTTCTGTTAATTATTTGAAGTAGGTATTATATACCCCATTCTGCAGATGAAGAACTTGAGGCCTACCTAGGTTAAGTAACTTGTTTAAAGCCAGCGGGCAAACCCCTAGTTTCATCTCAGGTTCATCTTTCTTCACACCACATATCCCAGGCTGGCGGCCCATCAGCTGAATATGTCCCACCGACCACTTTGGCCCACACAAAGTTCTGTTTTGTTTTTAATAAAGTTGAATTTGTGACCAACATTTTAAAATTTAGATTTTACTTTAAAATGTAAATCTCTAACTTTTCTTGAAAAATGGGAAGATCCAGTGACACTGTGGGCCTACATTCTCTGAGCCAAAACAGAAGCAGTGCCCTCTTTTAGCTAAGGCAGATACACCCCAGTTCACCATTTTCTCATTCCCAGCCCATTCCACACCTTTAGGCATTTGCTCAAAACAAACTCACTCCACTCCATCGGCGGTGCTCAACTTTGACTGCAAATCACAGTCACTTAAGAAGGCTTTAACAATGGGATGCCAAGGTATTTTATTGAAAACACATTTTATTTTAAGACAACACCCCTTCCCCCGTGCCCCACAAACCACTCCCTGATGATTCTAATGGGGAAGGAGGGAGGTTGAGCAATACATAATCATATTTAAATTTGTGAGGTGACCAGGGAGTTCCTGGTATTATTGTCCCCATTTCAGAAGTGAGGAAACACAGACTCAGAGGTGCAGGGACTTACCCTGTGACCAGCCAGCTAATGGCTGTCAGGTAGGACTTTAGCCCAGGTCTTTCATGTTTCTAGAAATAGATAGGACAGTGGCAAGGAACCTACCCAGGGCTTCAGGTTTCCATGATGGCAGTGAAAAGAAGTGGCCACATCAGAATTTGTCTGACTTGATTCCATCAATTAGCTGGTCAAAGTTTCTGCTTTTTTCTTTTCCTCCTTCTGACCTCCAGGGTGCTCTGCGTTTCTTCTCATTGACAGGGGGTGAAATCGTTCAGAAGGAACAAGAAGACCTAGGTTTGGGACCATTTCTCACATGTAAAATGCCTGTCCTCTGTAACTTAGAGATAGGTTGTGAACTTCAAATGGACTTACCACTGGGATGTGTCTTTTGTCTGTCTCTTTCTTTGTGGCATTTTTGTATAGTAAATGTCTGTAGGACAGTTGCTGATGTTAGCTTGTAGTGGGACCATGTTTCGCTGCAGAGCCAGTGAGTCAGAAGGGAAATCTTGGGGTTTGATTATATGCACCGAGACCTCTTACTATTAGCCCCCCTTCCGTTTTGGCATTCTTTTCTTGTGATATGCCCTTTCTGTTCTGGTCACTCTTGATTTTTTTCTCTGACCCACTAAAATAAGTATCCCTCAAAGTCAGTTTCCTACTCTTTTGTTCCCTGTAGTGATCCTCAGAAGATTGTATACACTCTCATTGTGTACACTCTCACTGTGTACACTCTCACTGTATACACTCTCATTGTATACACTCTCATTGTATACATTCTCTTCTAGTCCTTACTAGGACTCACTTCCAGATGTGTGTCCATTTCTGACCTCTTCAAGGTTTTCTGTATTTCTGCTTGCTGTTCATTTTTACTTCATTAGTTTGCCACCACCTCAAATTCAACATGTTTAAATCCAGTCCTTTCTCTTCCTCCTGAAACCAGCTGCTTTTGATCTTCTGCATTTCTGTTAGTGGAAGTACTGTTTTCTCATTAAACCCAGTTGGTTCTCACTGCCTCCCCAGATCCCTCGGTTCCCAAGTCCTGACAGTTTTCTGTTGCCTTCTTTGCCTCTGTCCTTGCCCCTTCCTCTTTATTCCTGCCACCTCGTCCTTAAGCTTGTCACCTCATGCCTAAAAGTACTAGAACAACTCTTAGTCTTCCTGTCTGCCCCATCCACCTTGCCTACCCAAATAGATTAACAAAAATACCTGTCACAGCGTTGCCCTCTGGCCAGAAACCTTTAATAACACCCAACTGCCTAGAGCTGCAGAAGAGTTACTTGGAATGTTTGTTTAAAACGCACATAGAGGCAGGGTACGGTGGCTCCAGCCTGTAATCCCAGCACTTTGGGAGGTCGAGGCGAGCGGATCACCTGAGGTCAGGAGTTTGAGACCAGCCTGGCCAATATGGTGAAACCCGCCTCTACTGAAAATACAAAACTTAACTGGGTATGGTGGTGTGCGCCTATAGTCCCAGCTATTTGGGAGGCTGAGGTGAGAGCATCACTTGAGCCTGGGAGGCAGAGGTTGCAGGGAGCTGAGATCATGCCATTGCACTCCAGCCTGGGTGACAGAGCTTGATTCTGTTTCTAAATAAAATGCAGATAGAGGACAGCTTGGTGGCTCATGCCTGTAATCCCAACACTTTGGAAGGCCGAGGTGGGAGATCACTTGAGTCCAGGATTTTGAGACCAGCCAGGGCAACATAGTGAAACCCCACGTCTACAACAATTAAAAAAACATTAGCTGGGTGTGGTGATGCACACCTATAGTCCCAGCTACTCAGGAGGCTGAGATGGGAGGATCACATGAGCCCTGGAGGTCGAGGTCATAATGAGCCATGATTGTGCCGCTGCACTGGGTGACTGCCTGGGTGACGGAGTGAGACGCTGTCTTAAAAAAAACATTGCAGGCCAGGTGCGATGTCTCACGCCTGTAATCCCAACACTTTGGGAGGCCGAGGCGGGCAGATCACAAGGTCAGGAGTTCAAGACCAGCCTGGGCAACATAGCAAAACTCCCATCTCAATAAAAAAAACATTGCAGGCCAGGTGCGATGTCTCACGCCTGTAATCCCAACACTTTGGGAGGCCGAGGCGGGCAGATCACAAGGTCAGGAGTTCAAGACCAGCCTGGCCAACATGATGAAACCCTGTCTCTACTAAAAATACAAAAATTACCGGGCGTGGTGGCACGCACCTGTAATCCCAGCTACTCGGGAGGCTGAGGCAGGAGAATCGCTTGAACCCAGGAGTCGGAGGTTGCAGTGAGCTGAGATCGTACCACTGCACTCCAGCCTGGGTGACAGAGCAAGACTCCGTCTCAAAAAAAAAAAAAAAGAAAAAATTGCAGTTATCTAGGTTGGGAGTGAGGCCTGTTTCAACATTTTAACCCAAATCAGCATTTTAACAAGCTCTCCAGGCAGGTGGTTCTTCGAAAACACTGCCTAAAAGTGGCCTACAAATTACAATCTAGACTCCTTAACTTGGGTTTGAGCCCTCTCCACTCCCAACCCCAGCCTCCTCCCGTAGGAAGGCCCCTCTTTCCAGCAAATCAGGTTTCTTGGTGCTCTTCATTAAGTCTTAGGCTCACCCAGTTCTGTGTTTTTTGCAGTCAGCATCTCCTCTCCCTTTAATATGTCCTCCCACCTTCTATCCTGGTTTTGAATGTATTATAAAGCCCCTTATAGTTCCTCTATCACTCCAGTCTGTTCTGGACATACACTTTTGTTTATGTCTGCCTTTTCAACCAGATTCTAAACTCAGAGGGAGTTTACCTGGGTGTCCCCCTCCTCCTTTTTGGTCTCCTGTGGTGCCTTGCCTAATAGTTTCTAGACAGTGACTATTTGGCTAAATGATTTCAAAGAAATCTCTTTATGACTCTCTGTTCTGATGGATCACTGTGAAATGGCACAATTCTCCACACAAGACACTTGGAGCTTAAAGACCGAAATAGTCTAAAATGCAATGTGTGAATTTTGCTATCTGTCAACAATGCTTTTTATGAAGTTGATGTCTGAATAAGAAGGCATTAAGAATTTTACTTGTGTTACTTTTTGAATGTGGGGTAAGACTTACTGAAGCAGGAATGAACAACTTCTCCAGTTTTGAAATCACATGACAGTTTCTGCTAATGTAAGATAACCAAGCAGCATGATTCAGCTACTTTCTTGCTTAAATCGCATAGTTAGCCAGTTGAGCAACTGTGGTGTTTTTATGCAGTGGTTTTGTATTAGAGTTTAACCCTTTAAATCTTTCAGTGAAGCCTATAGAACAGCCTTGAATTTGGGTGTCACTATAATTATAATTCTTCTGATGAATATGGATTAAATTCAGGGTTTCAGAAAAAGTATACTGAAATAATTTTTACCAAGTCAGTTAATTTTAAATGTGAAGCCCCCCCACCCCCTTTGGGGAGTGGTCAGGATACTATCCAAGTATTATTTTCCCGAGTGGAAGGTGATGTTTTACAATTCATTGTTTCATGGAAGACCAGTCAAGTTCTAGGGACATCATGTATGCAACTTTTGAAATTTATTACCTCTCCAGAAACCATATTTCACATGAGAGGATCTTCATTTTCTCTCTACAGGAGAATCCGTATGCTACACTGACCATGACTTTGGCACAGACCAACTTCTGCAAGAAACATGGATTTGATCCACAAAGTCCCCTTTGTGCTCACATAATACTGTCAGGAACTGTGACCAAGGTAAGTAGTTATCCTACAGGAAGGGAGATAGTTTCAGAACACCATCGTATTCACAATGAAAGATCTTTTTTCTTCTGAGACAGAGTCTCACTCTGTCTCCCAGGCTGGAATGCAGTGGTGTGATCTCGGCTCACTGCAACCTCTGCCTCCTGGGTTCAAGCGAGTCTTGTGCCTCAGCTTCCCTAGTAGCTGGGATTACAGGCAGGCATCACCACACCCAGCTAATTTTTGTATTTTTAGTAGAGATGGGGTTTCACCATGTTGGCCAGGCTGGTCTCGAACTCCTGACCTCAAGTGATCCACCCACCTTGGCCT